CTAATGAAAACCCTGTACAATAGTGATAATTTCTGTATATCAATGGCTTTTGAACACTGCTTTGTTCAATAACAGCACACCAATAATTATTTTCTTGTTGGCACAGGGATCCCAGAGAAGAACCCTTGACAGTTGCAAGCTGTCAAACTGTAAACTCCACACATGCCCAGAATCTGTTACCATCATTTGCATTGCTTTGTGACAAGTCCAGATAWAACCTTGCAGCTGCAATTAGTAATAACTGCTGTCAATTAACTAAACTGCTTTGACGCCAATGACAAGTTTGTTTAATTGAAARGTTTGATGGACAGCTGTCTATTGTTATTTGCATGTTGTTGATCATATCTGGGGTGGTTGTGTAGCAATGCAAATGACGATAAATGGAAAAACAGTAGTTTGATGAATGCATGCAGTCCGGCTTTGCGAATAAACTTCACATCAAACCTAGAGTAAAATTTTAATTTAAGACCCATACCGACAAGTACACACTATACGCTATTTTAACTTTTCTGTCATTTACGGAAAAAAGCTCGTTACTCTTTTTTCATGATCAAGTCCGAAGAACAAGGAATGTGTTATATGTGCACGATATATAAGAACGTTTATGCAGCAAAAGGTTCGTATATTAAGCTCTTAACTTCGTTTTGACAATTAAACTTCAAAAATACTTCAATGGTATTACCTCTAAGGGCTCTCATTTCCTCCAGGTCTTCTTCATCCATATTTAMCACAAASTACTCGTATAAGCGCAACTATAATTGAAAAATTTATAAAAAAATATAATTCCACATGTGAGCCGCCATCTTGAATGTTGTTCACTGCGCGCGCAACGAAAGATATTGGACCGGGATTCCTGTTTTGTCACGTGACTAATGCGGAAGGGTTGTTTCAAAAGAAGGAAGGAATTTTTGTTCGTACAAATGTGATCACTCAAAAGTAACAGCGTATTGCTCCTTAGTGAGCAGGCCGATTTCTCTGAAAGTTACCCAAAAGACTGCTTAATACACCAAGATGCCGCCGACAAGCCGTTTGGACATGTGGGCCGATAAGACGGCCTGCAGTTTGGTGAATGTCGACTGCCTACTTCCTACTGGGGTCTTGGTACCAATTCAAGTCAGAATTGAATCAACTCTTGGAGAGATCAAGACCAAATTATGGCGAGAAGCAAGCAGTTTTCCTCTGTTTAATTTCCTTAAAGAAAGCACTAGCTATGTATTTGTTTGTGTTAACTTACAAGGCAAGACAGAAGAGCTAGTTGACGAAAATCGACAGCTGATCGAAGCTCGACCTTTTCGTCCTTTGCTAAAGTTGATTGAACGAATGGGCGACAGGGAAGAGAAACTTCAAATGTCTAAAATCGGTAATTTACTAGGGAAGAACCTGGATGAGTACGAACAAATGCAAAATGCCGAAGTTGATGAGTTTAGAAGTCGCTACCGTGTCATTGTCGAGAGCATTTCGCGAGAGAGAAGCATTCTTGACTGGGAGAGCCGAGCAATGTATGCCTACCCCCCTGATGTAGACCCAGAGGGTGCAGCTCCGGATTTTGTTGAGAAAAACTTGATGCCTAACCGCAGATTTCTAGTAAACGTTGCAATCAGGAACAATAAGGCTTCTATAAAAGACTTGCATGCATTCAACGTTTCAGCTGATGCCCTGCCTGATGAACTTTTAACTCTTGTTTTGAAGAAGCGTGGTGCTATCATGGGAGTACATGATTTTGACAACCCTAAGGACTATGTTCTTAAAATTGTTGGTAAAGAAGTCTATCTTCTGGGGTGTTATCCTTTACTTCAGTATCGGGTATGATTGATGTTTTTACTATACATTTTATGATTATTATTAACACGGCAAAACATATTTTTTTGTCCACCAATTCCCCTCCCTCCCTCCTTTTGTGGGAAAATTGGAAGGAAGGGAGGGGACTGGCTGTACAGACTGCTATCTATAGATGTTTCAGTCAATAGCAAATGCAATTTTTAATTGAGTGTTTGACCAGTGAAGTTATATAATAACAATAATGATATCAAAGAGGCAAGATTTTGCTGTTACTAAATACCGTCTGATGAGTGCATAGCACGAAACTCGGAGTAACAGCAAAATCTTGCCTCTTTAATAACAATRATATAGGGAACAATAACTTGTATATAGAAACAAAAATTACATAGCACTATCCATCAAATAAATCCTTTTTCAGCAGATAAATTTCCTTCAAATATATAGTAGACTGCATGATGTATATCCGCTCTTTTGCAGTATATCCGTGACTGTATTGCAAAGCTGGAGAGACCTGCCCTATCTCTTGTCCAGCGTGCATCATTGAAGGTGGAATTGAATGTAACTGGCAAATCAGCACCTGGACCAGAAAACAGACCACCTCCCCCTGTACCTAGCAAAGTGTCTGGACTGTCACTGTGGTCTATTAATACTAATTTTAGAGTGAAAATTGCTTCAGCATTCAATGTCAACATCATTGAACACATGAAGGTTAGTGCAGTGGTTTTCATAGTGAAGTCTGTATCTTACCTCAAGTGGTCTATTTGGATTTGAGTTAATAATACAGTGCCATTTTCAATTTCCTCAACATGGCATGTTTTTGTATTGATTTGAATTGAAATGGCTGGTTTACTTGCGATGGCAAATTCCTGTAAAGAAGAAATAATGTTTAGCTACTATCATTGCAAGTTCACCAGTTGCTTTGCTTCAAGGCCATTTGTACCTTTCAATGAAATGGCT